GGGGGGGGGGGGGGGGGGGGGGGGGGGGGGGGGGGGGGGGGGGGGGGGGGTGGCATAGGTGCGGGGGATTGCAATCCACGTGCCCTCCTGCAAGTACATCATGCCAAGCAACGTCAAGGCTTCCGATACAGCGGCGACAAATAGTGTACACTGCTGAGACGGTGATGGCGGGGTTCAGTGTACACGTGCCACAGGCGGCGTCACAAGCGGCTTATGACAGCAGCTGAAACCAAACACTCATCCCTCCCTTCTCCCTCCAGACACAAAGGAGGCATGTACAGCAGCAGTGGTGCCGGAACAATGCCGGTGAAAATCGCGTGACACAGATGAAATAATCAAGTTGTATCATGCACTGTTTTAATGCCGGTTGCCCCGCAAAAAGGCCGGTTCAAGGGGCTGGCACCTACCGTACCGCCAATTTACCGCCAATTTACTGCAGTACCACAACATACATCGGCGGCCGAACAAGAAACAAACAAAACATTTACCTGTATCGCATGCATGGCTTTCTTTCGGTAGAGGCGGTACTCCTCCTTGAGGTCCTGGTATTTCTTCATCAGTGATGCCACGGCCTCGCCCTGGCCCCCCCCTGCCCCCCCCCTGCCCCCGCCGGAGCCGCTTCCGCCATCGCCCTTGAACATGTCCAGTTTCGCCACGGCATCTTCCTGCGAGGACGGAGAAAACGAGGACGCTTCACTTTTTGATAGAAACTTTCCTTGGGCAAAAAAAAAAAAAACGGGGTTCGACAACGGCAAGGCTGTCGTTCAATTGTCTCGTCCGGCTCATTGTCAATTCGTCTGCAGGAGTGCAACCAAAATAACTCGAGGAACTTTCTCGGCACAAGCAACGCGAAACAGCGACATCTCCAGGTCCACGCAAACGTAAGAAGGGCTGGACATACTCGCGAGTAAAAAGATCTCAGGCAGGAACCGCAGGAGGGGGTCCAACCCCCCCCTCCTGTGTGACCCCGTTTGGGTCGTCTAGCTCGTGGAAGTGGAGGATAGGGGCCAGAGGGGCAGACGGCAGAGTCCAATCATGGGACAACAAAAAAAAAATGTCTATCAAGATAAAACAACAGGGATACGGATTTGCCGAGAAGTGGGATCAGATGCTAACATCTCAATGTCCTGTCAGGTTCAACTCCAAGTCAAAACTCGGGCGCTCCAGCAGTGACACTGTGACACAGCCCACTACTCGGAAGAGAGCAACACCTTCTTCCGGTCAACCCAAGCGCGTCAACATCGTCAACGGAGCGGAGGAAAATATGTAAATCGTGTAACTTTTCCAAGCGAGGTCGTGTGCAATTTCCAAGCCAAATCGTGCACGTTTTTCGGAGCCAAATCGTGTACTCACAAGCCCAACCGTGTACCTTTTCACAAGCCAGATCGTGAATCCAATTTCAAGCCAAATCGTGTACCTTTTCCAAGCTGAGCTTCTCGTAGCGCTGCCGCCACTGGGCGGCAAGCGCGGTGTCGCCCCCCTCTCTCTTGAGCACCTCGATCTCCTTTACCTGTTTCTGGTACGCATGTCTCCAGCTCTGCGCTCGCGAGGAGGAGGAGGCAGCAACAGCAGTTGTCCAGCACAAGTGGCAAAAGCGAGATGGACCACAAGACAAAAAATGAACAAAAAAAAAACAGCGGGCGGTGCGAGACGACCGAAACATGGGGGCGGGGGGGGGGGGGGGGGGGGGGGGG